GTGGGTCTATTTCTGGGGTCTCTGTTCTGTTCCATTGATCTATATGCCTGTTGTTGTACCAATACCAGGCAGTTTTGATTACAATGGCTTTGTAATACAGTTTGAAATCTGGTAATGTGATCCCTCCCACTCTGTTCTTTTTTCTCAAGATGGCTGCAGCTACTCGGGGTCTTTTTTGGTGGAATTATAAGGATTTTAAAAGCAGCCATGGTAAGAAATGTTTAAATGGGCAGTTGTGAACACTATATACCTATTAGTAGAGTTAAAATTTAAAAGATTGACCTTTCCAAGTGTGGGTGAAAATATATAGCAACTGGAACGCCTTTCCAGTGATGGTGGGAATATAAAATGATATAGCTAATTTGGAGAACAGTTTGGCAGTTTCTTAAAAAGTTAATGATATGTATACACCTACCATATGATTTAGCCATTCCACTTTAAGGTATTATTTACTCAAGAGAAATGAAAGTATATCCTCATACAAAGACTTGTGTGCAAATATTCCTAGCCGTTTTTATTCGTAATAGTTGAAAATTGGAAACAACCCAAATGTCCACCAACAGATGAATGGATAAACAAATAATGGTATATCCACATAATGAAATACTCACAGCAATAAATAAGGAACCAACTATTACCACTCTCAAAAATGTAGATGAATCTCATATAATTATGTTGAGCGAAAAGAGCCACACACACAAAAACGGGTACACATTGTATGGCTCTATTTATATAAAGTTCTAGCAAATGCAAACTAAACTTGAAAAGACAGAAAGCAGGTATGTGGTTGCCTAGGGAAGAGGAAGGGTAAAAGGGAGGGATTAGCAAGGGCAACCAGAAAAGTTTTCTGGGTAGTGGATATGTTAATTTTCTTTTTTGTGGAGACTGTTTTCCAGGTGTATATATATGTTATAACTTACTAAATTGTATACTTTAAATATATTCTGTTTATGGTTTGTCAATTACACCTCAATAAACTGCTTAAAATAAAGGAGAACCTCAGAGTAGATCTAGTGACTGAGGGTGACAATATGGCAAAGTTCTAAACTTTTAAAAAATTTCTAAACTTCCAGGAAGACAGAAATGTATCAGTACTACCTATCTGAGATCGGAGATAACATGCTTAGGTGGACTTTCCTCAAAAACATGGTAAGTGCCCGGCCAGGCGTGGCTCAGTGGTTGAGCATCGACCTAGGATCCAGGAGATCGAGGTTCAACTTCCTGTCAGGGCACATGCCCGGGTTGCAGGCTCGATCCCCAGTCGGGGGCATGCAGGAGGTAGCCGATCAATGACGACTCTCATCATTGATGTTTCTATCTTTCTCTCCCTCTCCATCTCTGAAATCAATAAAGATATATTTAAAAACAGAAAACAAAAAAACCACATGGTAAGCAAGAGCTACAACTGGCCTGTTGCTAACTTTGCAGTTGAGTTTGCAGAGATTACGAGTGGGGCGAGTCCAGTAGGTGTTCAGGCTGGCCTTTCTGCTCTACCTTTCTGCTCCTCAGATATCTTCAAGACTTGTAATAACTTTGCACTAGGTATTGGCTTCTTGGACACAATTTTACTTAAAATAACTGCTATAGATACTGTTTTCTAAATGGGAGGTTATTCACAGATCCTGTAATAATTTTTTGTTTTCCATTAATCTTGATTATTTAGAAAAATAGTGCACATGGAAGATTTGGGATTGCATTAACTTAACTTTGGAGGGGCTGAAGAAATGACACACATTCCCCAGAAGTCACTTGGGTTTTAGGTACTAGGAGAACCACAGCTTTACCAGTTGCTGTTTAGGACATAGCAGTGAGGTAAAAGAGAAAGAGAAAGAGAGAGAGAGAGGGAGAGAGGGAGAGACGGAAAGAGGGAGAGAGAAAAGGGGAGGGAAGAAGAGGAGAGGGGAAGAGAGGCAGGAGGGAGGGGAGAGGGAGAAACTGAGGTGAGCAGGGAGGGGGCAAACTTTGAACTTTATGTCTTTCGAAACTTAATTTTACTTAAGAGATTAAAGGGGGATTTTTATTTAGAAACGAAATCAGGACTTTTTTGCGTTATCAGGAACTATCATTTGAAAGGGCCTTTGGTTTTAGTGCTGCCATTTGAGCTCGCTACAGAGCTTCTGGTAAACTGCACTGGGAAGGCAGCTTCGTGGCGCCAATTACATCCTGCCAGCTCTGACTCTTTTGCTCACCTGCTCTTGGAAAATTGCCAGGGTCCCCCCCCAACCTTTTCACCACAAACAAAGCCCTGGTTTGTCTCTTTTCCTCCTAGAAGTCCTACCCTCTCCCCACAGGGCCACTCACAGGGCACAGTGTCACGCAGATACTCCCACCACTGGCGAAGCGTGGAGTCCCCCATCATGTGGACCATGCGACCCGCCAGGCAGTCCAGGATGCTGTCAACAGTGGGGAAGGAGCGGCTGGAGCAGGACAGCGAGTGCCACACGTCTCCATGGTAGAAGCCAGAGGGCTTTGTGGCAGGGAGCCCAGGATAGCATGGGGGACGTGGGGATAGGGCTAGAGAAAGGGATAAACCAGAACAGAACTAACATTTATAAATTACAAAACTCCGGCCATTCTTCTATGTGCTTTACATGTATTATCTCATTTACTCTTTTACAAAAGTCCACGAAGTACTATTCTTATCTCCATTTACAAGTGGGGACACTGAGGCCCTGAATTGTTAAACAATTTACCCATGATCAAGAAAATGCCTGGCAGAGATAGCATTTTGATCCAAGAAGTCTGATTTACAGCACATATTACTAACAATTATGCTCCACTGCCCTGGCAGGAGGACTGGGGCTAACCTCCCAGTCAAGGAATAACACCCCCCCAAGTCTATTCCCCACCCCACACCCTGGCCCTGGCCCCAGCAAATGCCAGCCCCACTTACCCAGGCTGCTGTTTCCTGGGGCGGCTGTTCTGACCTGGATCGGAGAAATGCCCTGAGGGAGCACCTTGTCTGTCACTTTCCTGGAGAAACACCAAGAGTGAGCATTGAGGGTTGTCGATCAGGTGAAAGCAGGAATCCAGTATGGAGATATGATGGTTGGTAGTAATTTCTACTCTAAATCCATAAAGAGTTCAAGGTAGTTACAATACAATTAGGACATTTATTATGAGGCAACTACAATAAAGAGTCAGAAAAAGTGATGGAAGGAAGAGAAAATCTTGCCAGGAAGCTGGACCTTCTGCAATCAATCTACCCATTAGCTCTCAGTTTACTAACAGTTTAGTTAATAAAAGAACATCCAAGCTGGATCATGTAGTTCTCCTTCTCTGATAAATAGGGGTACATAGCACTCCAGGAGAGAGAAACTCTTTCTTCCTAGCACTAAATTCTGGAAGGAACATGGAGCAGGAAATTTTTTTTGTTTCAAAAAACTCAGACAATGGGGATTATAATCCCCCACTCCTTAATTGTGGGCTGTACGTAGAGAAGCACAAAGGGCACAGTGTGGAAGGAGGGGATTCAGGAGAGTAGTTTTGCAGTAGAGAAACCTGCCAAACGCTGCCCCAGCCAGATGACCAGGTTAAAATAAACACTCATAAATCACACTGATAGTATGTACCCTTGATACAATGTGATGAAAATGTAACCTGATCTCTGTGACCTTCTTCCCCAAACCCATAACCCACCTCTAATCACTAGAAAAACAGACAAATTTCAATAGAGAGGAATAATACAATATAATTAACCAATACTCCTCAAAACTGTTAAAGTCATCAAAAATAATGAAAGTATGAGAAACTGTTATAACCAAGAAGAGCCTCAAAGACTAAACGTAATGTATTCTGGATGGGATCCTGGAACAGAAAAAAGATGTTAGGTTAAAACAGTGATTTTCAACCTTTTCATCTCATGGCACACATAAATTTTTTTTTAAAAAAAAATATCTTTATTGATTTCAGAGAGAGGAAAGGAGAGGGGAAGAGAGAGAGAAAAACATCAATGATGAGAGAGTCATTGATCAAGCCCGCAACCCAGGCATGTGCCCTGACCGGGAATCTAACCCCGATCGCCTGGATCCTAGGTCGACCCTCAACCGCAGAGCCACGCCCGTCTGGGCAGCACTACAATTCTGTGGCACAGCAAAAAAAATGTTATATTTTTTGCCTGTCTGACAAAAAATAGGTATAATTTTGATTCATTCACACCGGACAGCTACTGTTGTGTTGGCTGTTTCATTTTTTTGGTTTGACAGTCTAAGGGAAAAGAGGGCAGTGCCCCTGACAAAATAGTCAGATATCGCATGTTTTAAAAATTCTTGCAGCACACCATTGAAAATCACTGGGTTAAAACTAAAGAAACCTAAATAGGCTATGGACCTTACTTAATAATAGTGTAGCAATATTGGTTCATGAATTGTAATAAATATACCACACTAATATAAGATGTTAATAATAGGAGAAATTATGGGGGAAAGCAGATTAGGGAAATTTTTGTACCATCTGCTCAATTTCTTTGTAAATGTAAAACTGTTATAACTCATAAAGTCTAGTAATAAAAAATTCCACACAGATGTTTGTCAAACAAAAATATCTGCCCACAAGAGTCTATGTCCCAATGTTAACAGCAGCTTGATTCATAATAGCTAAAACTGGAAATAACCCAAATGTTCAAGCGGTAAATGGATAAATTAAGTGTGGTATATCTGTACAATGGAACACCATTTATCAATAAGAAGAAGAAAAAAAGAAAATTACTGATCAACAACATGGATGAATCTCAAAAACGTTTTACTTAGTGAAAGAAGCCAGATACAAGAGTACAAATTGTATGATTCTATTTTTATGCAATTCTAGAGAAGGCAAAACTAATACATACTTTGAGAAAGCAAATCAGTGTTTGTCTAGGGCTGGAGGTGGAAGAGGAAAATTGACTATAAAGGGACACAAGGGAATCTTTAGAGGTGGTGGAAATGCTCTGTTTCTTTATTGTGATGACAGTGACATAGGTATACACACTTATTAAAACTCATTGACCAGCCTGGCTGGCTTGGCTCAGTGGTTGAGCACCAACCTATGCTCCAGGAGATTGTGTTTTGATTCCCGGTCAGGGCACATGCCCGGGTTGTGGGCTCGATGGTGGGGGGCCTGCAGGAGGCAGCTGATCACTGACTCTCTCATCATTGATGTTTCTATCTCTCTCTCTCCCTCTCCCTTCTTCTCTCTGAAATCAATAAAAAAGTGTTTTAAAAAATAGTGTTAAGACTAAATGGTGCAGAGAAACTGGACCTCTCAGACATTGCTGATGGGAATGTAAATGGTATGGCCACTCTGGAAAACAGTTTGGCAGTTTCTTATAAAACTAAATGTCCACTAATTACACAACCCAGCAATCACATGCAGGCAGTTATTCTAGAGAAATGAAAACTTACGTTCACATAAAAACCTACGTATGACTATTCATGGAAACTTTACTTATAATAGTAAAAAAACAGAAACAACCCAAATGTCCTTTAATGGGAGAATGGTTAAACAAACTTATACAATGGAATACCAGGCAGCAATAAAAAGGAATGGATTATTGACACATGCAACAACTATTTTCTGTTGTAAGTACTAATTTGTATTATTTAAGTGTGTTACAGATATCATCTTCCAGTTAATGCCTTGACTTAAAGTACGTTTATGGGACTTTTTGAAATGGAGACATTTTAATTTATGTATCACCTAATTTATAAATATTTTCTTTTATGATTTGTGCCTTTTGTTATGTCCAAAACAACGTTTCCTGACCCAAAATAAAAAAGATATTTTCTTTTCTAAGTTTTAAGGTTGCTTTTCTCTTTTTTTACATTTAGATCTTTAATATTCCTGAAATTGGTCTTTATGTATATACCATGAGGTTTAGATCGAATTATATTCTTTTATGTTTATTTATTTACTATTCAATATATTCCCAATTGGTTTGAATACCTATTATGTTTAGATAGTTATCTTCATGGACCTAGTTTATTCTATGATTTATTTAACTGTGCTTAAACAAATGTCACATGCCATGTCAAGAGACCTGCCTAAAACTATTTCACACAAAAAATTGAAATATAAAAAGAAGAAAAAAGGTATACCATGAAAACACTAAACAAATGAAAGTTGCTATAGTAATATTCATACTGTAGAAATTAGAACTTAAGACAAAAAGCAAGAAAGTGATATGAATAATTTACCATTAATATAAGACAGTCACAAAGTTGAATGTACTTAACAACATAGCCTTGAAATGAACAAATTGGAAAGAGTCTGAATTACAAAGAGAAACAGCCAAATCTACAAATACAGTATGATACATTTTTGTCTAAACTAATAGATTAACCAGACAGAAAAGTTAGTGAAGATATACATGCTTGGAATAAAAATGTTAAGGATAGGTTCAGAATTCCATTCTGAAGAAATAGAGAACACAGATTATTTTCAAGGAGATATAGATTATGAAAAAAACTTAATCATTTGCTGGGTCACAAATAAATTTTTAACAAATTTCAAAGAATCAATATCAGAAACCCTATTTCTAGTCATAACACAAATAAATTAAGCAAAAAAATACAAAGATAGCCACCTCCCTACCCTATATTCAAAAACTAAAAATAATTCCTAAATAATTCAGGAGTTAAAGAGAAAATCACTGTGTAAATTATAAAACATGTAAAACTGAATGAAAATGAAGCTTCCATATACAAAAATCTGGAGAATATAGCTAAAGCTGTACTCTGAGGGAAATTTATAGCCTTAACTATTTTTTTTCCCATATAAGGAAGATTGATAGATTGGTTAATTGTTCTGAGTCATGAAATTAGAAAAAAATAAGGGGGGGCTATCATGAGGTATTCCATATATGCTTACAAAAAAGGGTGTTCCCATTGGGTGCTATCACTCACAGTTACTCCTTCACCAGGTCCCATCACACTTTGCTGGAGGCTGCTACATACTCCAGCAGGGCTTGCCTAATATATCTACAGTTTTGATAGGCACCACTGTCTCTGCTGGTTATTACCACTGATAGGAGAGTATCTTTCCATATTAATAAATATAATTATATAAAATAAAAAAAGAAAAAGGAAAAACATCCTGAAATAAATAAAAGTAACAAATATCAAAGATACCAATAGAAACAAAGAAAATAGAATGGAGACTATTTTTCTGATAATATGGTAGACACATGTATTCACACCAGCCCTTACATTGAGAGATTTGCTCTGCCTTGAACATCTCATTTCTTATCTTTCCTGGAGAATTCCTAGTTTTTCTTTAAAACCCAGATCAATTATAACCTTCCTTAAATGGATAGCCTGACCAGTTTCTTGTGGTACATGTCTGTTTAGAAATGTCTGTCATATAATAGGTGCTCAACAAGCATCTGTTGAATGAGAGTATAAATAAATGCATGGTGTAAACTGGGGAGGGCCATTGTATCACAGGGACAATATTCAGAAGGAAGGATGTGGCTTAGTGTTGGGGAAAGCTTCTCAGATTCTATATTTTCTTACCATGCCAACAGGGCCTCATCATGTAGAGTAGTCACATTCAGGTAACTTCCACTTGAGTGTCCAACTAAAGAGTTGCAGGGCAAGGTAGAAGGTTGGGCACAGAACCAGAGTTCACCCGAATCCACATCCCTGTACTGGCAGGTAGGCCCTCTTGCTCCAGTTGACTGAGGGTCAACATTGCAAATCACAGTCTCTTCCGTTCCTGTGGGTCCTCGGAAATAGCCTCTAAAATCAACAGTGGCTTTTTTATTTATCCAGATTCTTCTCAGAACTCCAACTGCCTCACTGGAATGGATCAGCCTCACTTGCACCTGGGCCTGCCCAGCCCAGAGAAGGGGGAAGGACAGCAGGTATGTGCCATTCTCCAGATCCTGGACATCTCCAGGGACCCCTGCCTTCAAGTTGGGACCTAGCAGCTGTGCCCGAAACAGATCCCCACCATGGGTCTTGGGCCTGCCCCGATAGTCTCTGGCCACAAGGATGGCCTCCAGGTAGCCTCCCAGGGCATAGCTGGCTTGGGCAGGACCCCTCAGGTGGTAGGTGGAATTCTGGGGGCTGGTGGAGGCCAATAGATCCCCGTTATCACCTGGGGTCGGAGGCCAGTACAAAAGATGGGTCAGGTTGGCAAGCTCCTGGGAGCCAGACTCCAAGAAGGAGGGAGAATCTGTGGACTTGGCAGATTTCGAGGCACAGCAGGGTGCTGGGGGCCGAGGGATGGTGCTGTCAGGCCAGGTGATCTTGAAATAGAGGATCTGTGGGTAGAGGAAGGAGGATCTATCAGTGGTTTATGTTTTCCTCACTTTCTCTTAGGAAGGAGATTTTCACTCATCAAAGCTAGTCCCCTCTGCAAGGAGTCCTGTCCTGCCTGCACCAGGCTGTCACTTATCAGCCTACTGTCTGAGTCATTATTACATTTATTTAAAAGAAGCATGTCGTATGAAGGAGAAGTTATATCTCTGGATCTCAACTGCCTCCTTATCTCAGCCTTATTCCCTCCACTACCACCCCTATCCCTCTGCAACATACACAGAGATATGGATAGGCCTGTGTCCAACTGTCATATCTTTTACTTCCCTCCCAGAGCCTGGCACTCTGATTAAGTGTCCTCTTTTTTCTTCCTATTCCCTCTCTCTACCACTCCACCCCCACCATCTCCAACTTAGATTTCCCACAGAGAATCAGAGGTGGGCAAGCCCATTACTCAACACTGTTGAGGGTTATAAAAGAAGGAGGTTAGACCATCTCTTAAGGAGCTCCCTCTCTAACTGGGTTCAGTGGACAAAAGAAGTGAAACCATTGGAACCACAGAAACCATTGGAAAAGCAAGAAGCTGTAGAAAGGCACTGACAGAGGTGACGGTTGGAAAAAGGACTGATATATGGCAGATTCTTTTCTAGGAAGACAAGGTGTTTGTTATGACAAAGAGTCTCCTCCAGGGGCCAGCGCTCTCTGGTATCATATTTTGAGAAACACAAAGTAAAAAATACAGACCAGGAAGAGCAGAAGAGGGAGGCTTTGTTTTGTGACGGAGGGTGGTGGTGGATATGAGAGTGGGCCTATGCTCCTGGCCTATCAGATACTTACCTATACCCACCAATAGTCCCTTCTACTCAGGCAAGTGTGATTCAGAAAGAAGGAGCCCAGTGACACACCTCAAATTCTATGGCAGCACATGGAAGGTATGTTTGAGGCTGCAATTTCTGTTCTGATTGCTGGAGGAGAAAACACTCACAGGGCTGGCTCCTCTCTTGGCTGGAGAGGAGCAGCGTTCAACGTCATAGAGTCTGGGCTCAGATCCAGTGCTGTGTGGTTCCTTGGGATGCTTGGCCCATACATGCCTGTGCGTCTTGGGGGAAAGTATACCTAGTAAGGTGTCTGGTCCTGTTGGGACCTGTTTACGGACCCTCATCCTGGGCTGGTAGAATATCAGGGAGCACTAACCTAGGAGATCACAAATCAGAATGGCTTCTTGTCCATCCCTAAAAAAGGGCAAAAACGTGCTGGTGGACATGTTCCATGTTCTCAGAAGCAGACTGTTTTGCCTCCTGTCACTTGCAGTTTTGCCACCACACCAAGGGTCCTGAAAATTTCAACTGACCAGTAAGAGTGTCCAAGGGATCTGTTACAGCAAGCTTGAACAGATTTGAGAAAGACCAAATATATTAGTTTAACATGAAAGAATTATTAGGTATGGGAGGTTACATGGATGTTTATAATTCCTGGTATGTCATATCTATGTTCTTTATATTCTCTGGTGTGTGAAAAATATTTCATAATAAAAACAAAATTTTAAAAAATTCTCTGCTTAATTTCTCTTTAACCAGAGACGAACTATAAAAATAAAAATACGATCTGTCTAGATAGAAATAAAAGAGAAAACTTCAGGAGTAACACCTTTAAGGTGGCCAGTAGGAAGCCCTGGATCCTCTTCTCCCTCTATGAACACCCAGGTTCAGCAAAAACTCACAAACCAATTCCCTTTGCGACAAATACAAAACTAACTGAAAGGCTTTTACGCTCCAGGTGAATTTGAAAACAGACTTAGCAAAGTTGGTAAGGAGATTCAGGGCACCCCTGACATACTGCAAAATGATCAGGAAGAGAACCCCAGCTCCCAGCTCTATCAGCTCTAGTGCCCCAAATTTTCTGTCAGGCTCTTCGTGGGACTGGTTTCTGACCTGCCAGTTTTGCACTGTTGATGAGACCGGCACAATCTAGCTGCCTGGGAGAGAACAAGCTTAAGCTGTTGGCCACCACAGCTCCTCCCTCAGGCTCACACAGCTCCCTATGCCGGTGAAAGAAGCCAGTCACATAAAGACAAACATTGCATGGTTCCCTTTATATGAAGTATCTAAAATCATAAAATTTATGGAACTGAAGAGTAGAATGGTGTTTGCCAGGGGCTCGAGAGAGGAATAAATGGAGTGTTCCTAACGAACAGGCATAAAATTTCAGTTAAGATGAATAAACTCTACAGATCTGCTGTACAACATTGTGCATAAAAATACTGTCTTGTATACTTTAAATTTTGTTAAGCAGGTAGATCTCATGTTAAGTGTTCTTATCATAATAAAATTGAAAAATACATGCATTTCTTTTGCTCAAAAGACACTATTAGAGTGAAAAGCAGGCATGACACAGAGCTGGAGAATATATTTGCATCATGCACAACAAATGAAGGGGCTTGTATCCAGAATCTCTAAAGAATTCCTACAAATAATAAGAAAAGACAAACAACTGAATTAAAAATGGATAGAACATACTTTAACAGCATTTCACAATAGAGGAAATTCAATGACCAATAAATATATGAATAGGTGTTCAGCTGAATTAGTAAGAAAAGGATTGCAAATTAAAACCACAATGAAATACCTCTACATATTCAAAGAAAGGCTACAACTAAAAGACAATACGAATGTTAGTGAGGACCTGAAGCAACTGAATCTCTCATATTGTGATGGCGAGAACATAAATTGGGAAAACTACTTTGCAAAGCTGTTCATCAATATGTACTAAAGATTAATGTATGCATACCTCAGGACCAAGCAATTTAGCTCCTTGGTATATACCCAACAGAAAGGCATGCATACGTGCACCAAGCAATATTTAAAATAGCCCCAAATTTAACATAATCCAAATGGCCATCAATAGTAGAATGGATAAGTAAATTGTCATACACTCATATACTGCAGTACTAGAATAAAATGAAAATTAACAAATAACAGCTTTATACTACAACATGGATGACTCTCACAAAAATAGAATTGTTAGTGGTGGTGTTTGACCTCAGTTCTTGAGTTCAGCAAAGAAAGAATTCAGAGTCAAAAACTCTAGTGCAAGAGTTTATTTAGAAAGTCACAGAGGTAGAAGTAAGTCAGATGGGCTGTGTGGACTCAGCAAACAAGTTACAGAGGCAAAAGGGCCGTTGAAACTTAGAAAACAGAAAGCAAAGATATGTGCCTGAGGAAAGAAGGGGGTGGGAGGAAGGCAAGGGGGTGCTCCAGAGAGAGAGAACCTGTGCACTGGGTCTCTTGCCTTAAGGCAGGAATTTTAGGGGAGGACTCAGGGAATGATCTCAATAGAATATTCATCAGCTTTCCAGGTGTGTCTTTTCAGGGTTGGTGGTCTCTACTGATTGGTCAGCACTAGGGTAGAGGGTCATTAATCACTGCATCTGGTCCTGATGTCAACCATGGCATCGATTCATCTGGTTTCTCTGCTTTTCTGGTCCTAGAGCTGAAACACAACTGAGGCCTAGAAGTTATCTCTAGTTTGACCAAAACTCTGTCTTCTTGGTCGACAGACCCAAGGCTTTGTTCCTAAGGTTATTTGATGCTGATCAGAACCTCATTGTCCTGAGGGCTTAATGCTTAGGAAGTGGTCATGCAAGGGAGAGGGAGGTGGTGAGGCAGGATGCTGGATGAGGCCAGTTTGAATCAGCTCTGTCTCAGTTTCCCCATTCCACTTGCTAAGGAATTTTCCCAGCTTCTTACTATCCTGCCTTCAGAATGAAAGAAGACACACATAAAAGAGCACATAGTATATGATTGCATTTCTATAAAATGAAAATTCAGGCAAAAATAAACTATAATGTTTATAGTTGGAAAGAAGAGAGGTTGATAGTGATAGAGAAGAAGGCAAAAAAGGAAGCTTCTGGGGGTACTGGTAATTTTTATTTCTTGACTTGTGATGATTATACAATTGTGTTACCTTTTATTTAATTGAGCACTTATGATTTATATATTTTTAATGTGTGTTATAATTCAACTTTTTAAAAAAGTGTAAATTTTGGCTTTTGCACCAAGATGTCTCACTCTTTCTCAGTGAAAGCTTACTCTGGGAATGAAATCAACACTTTCTTTGGACCTTTGGACATTTTTAATGTGCGCAAAAAAGGGGCCACATACTAAACCTGATAAGATTAGGGAGGCTTGCATGGCAGGTCTTACAAACTCAGAGACTGAAAGAAACCTCATAGTGAGACAGTATAAGGACTTGTGCCCAGGAGTGGAAATATATATACCAGAAAGCCAAGAAGGAACATCAGATATGAATGTCACTACCCTGCCACATCCTGTTTAAAGCAATTGTAAAATTTTGTCTCCCTTCTAACAGCTTGTTTTTCCTACCCTGACATGGAAAATTCCACAAGCCTCCCTTTTCCCAAAAGCCTGTTGTTTCTTTTTTTGTGCAAGCCTGCTCTGACCCCAACTTATAAAAGCAGCCAAGCAGAGTCAGCCCCAAGCCAGTTCAGAGGACCTTCCTTTCTTCTGCGCTGCCTCTTTTGTGTTCAAGCATAAACCTAATAAAAGTCTGTCTGGGAATTTCTCTGCGGTTTTCTCTTGATTTCTATCTTGAGAAGCCCCATAACCCCAATACCAGTAACAACAGGATGTTTTGAACATAAAAATTCCTAACTAAAAGTGAGTCATGACAGGTGGTCACATCCTAGGCCTGTAGCCTCCTTGACAAAGGTCAGTCTTTACTTTAAGCCTGTCTCTTGTCTTTTTGCATCTAAAATAACATACCCTTTGAATGTCAAAGCAATCCCCCTTTTCTGGACTCTCAGAGTACAACCTCCCGCCAGAGCATGGGAGGCCACAGAGCCCCTCATTGTTATCTTGTTCCCCGAATACCATGTCTATATGCTGTGTTCATTGTTAACTATCCTGTACCCACCAATGTGAAAGAAGTAAGTGTCTCTCCATTTTACTCTTTATCCAATCTCAGAGATTTCCTCGCTTTGATTTCTTCCACCTCCCTAATCTACCACCAATGGATTTCATGTAACCCCCCCCTTTCACGTAACCCCCTTTCATGTAACGTCTCCTCCTTTGATTCTAATGTCTAAAATAAGCTATAAAACTGCCATTCTCTGGAGCATTTTCTTAATCCATTGAAATTTTGCTTCCTGGAAATTGTTGTCAGTTTGGCTCAAACAAATTCAGAAAAATTCTTTACAAGGTTGGACGTTTCTTATATTAAGAAATTAGGGTTTTCCTGCCAAACTTCTTCATACTCTTAGAATAAAGACCAATTTGTGAACCCATCTTGCCATCTTGAGGTTGGACCACTTTTAAGAGAAACCAGAAATTCATATTTTCATGTGAAATCTCCTACTGTTTAAATATCAATAACCCATTCAACTGTTTTAAACATGAGTTGAAACAGTATACACAAAATGCATATATAGCTGCATTAATCTCCTGAACTCCAGTTATAATCTATGGGCAAACAGGGAAATGCCTTTTCTTACAGGTATTCTTAGCTTCTTGTCATAGCCAGGTTCCCCCAAAACACCACAAAGTTCATGCCAGTCAATTGCCAACTCTCTTTTTGGACAGGGATTTTTTTGCCTGAATTCCTGACTCTTCTTCTCTGTGATAAAAAGCAGGACCGGATACCACAAACTTCTATCTCTCATACACTGTGGCAGAAAGGGTGAGAGAGCTAAGGACATGTGAATTGCATTTTTATTTTCCTCCACTGAGAGTTCTCTGGAACAATCTCTTCTGGGTTTGTGTTTCTAACTCCTTAATAGACCCCAACACCCAACCACTCACCCTCCTCCTAAGGGTGATGTCTCACCCTGCAATTGCTGCCACTGGAGTCACACAGGGGCAGAGGGAAGGAAATTGAGAGCTCCCTCAGTCCCCTCTCCCAGATTAAGGCATAATCAATCCAAACTTGAGGTTGCACAAGGAAAGAACAAATGAGACAGCAGCAAGGGTAGTACTCACCCAAACCAGAAAGACCAACACCACGGTCAAAATCTTGTACTCCTTCCATTGCCCCACAAATGAACCCATAGCAGCGTAGACTTTTCTCAGAAATACTCAGTATGAATCATGGACCTAAGTGGAGCATAAAACAAAAGTTAATAGGGCTCCTCAAGTTGCTGAGTTACTTCTTGTAACTTTCAAGAGAGGTTCATGTTCTGCCTGATACTGCACCCTATTCCAGGCCCTGTGTCTCTCAAAATCTATCTTCCTAAGTCTTAGGTTTCTCCCAGAATTTAGAGTCTCTCTTTCTGGACTTTGAAACTATTGCAGCTTCCAGTAAGCACATTCCATTCTATGCCAAGGACCTTGGGCCTTTGAACTAATTACCTCTTTTCACAATTATTTTAGATAATAATTGACCATACACAAAAACCATCAGTGAGAGAACACATTTTGTCATTCACACGTAAATTTTCATAAAATATATTTGGTGCTCATTGTTGTTCTACTATTGATATATTGTAACTTCATAATGGGAAGACTTTGGCATGAGGAAGGAGATAGCATCTGTCTACCTGAGGGTGTGAGCATGGGTTATTCCAGAGGATGACGAGGTCTGCTAGTCAGAATGGGATTCAGCATGTCAGTGCCCACTGCCCTGAAATATATACAATGAAATAATATAAGGTAGAATAGAGAGCTGAGATATCAAATCTGAAGAATACAAATATGCCAAAACAATGATCAACATTGTTATTGTTGATTGAGCTTCAAATTTGGTTCTAAGACTCTGAATCAGCTCGAGTAAAAAGGGACAGTGCAAACCAGATCAGTATTTCCCAACCTCCGATCATGCACTAGGAATTTCACATGATTTTGCCATATCCATATCCTGGCCACACTATTTTTTACTTAATATTTTTTCTTAAACTTACTCATTATAAAAATTCAAAGATATTCTCTCCCCCCTTCCTCTCTCTAAAATCAAATTTAAAAAAAGTAAAGGTCTGGGTATCTATCACACTTACAAAAATTTCAAATTTTCAAATTCAAAGAGTATAAGGAAATAACAACAAAATGCCCACCACCCAGCTTTATCACATTCTAGTGCTTTGGTTTTGCCTAATTTTGAGAGAATATGACCCCAGTTTAGGTTTATGTTCTTAGTTTGCAAGCTTCTTTTTTAAAATTTTGTGTCAGTTTCAAGTGTACAGCATAGTAGTAAGTCATATCTTTTACAAAGTGTTCCCCTGATATTTCCAGGACCCACCTGGTACCATATATACTTATTAAAATATTATTGACTATATTCCCTATCCTGGTGACTATTTTGTAACCACCAATTTGTGCTTCTTAAACCCTTCACCTTTTTCATGCAGTCCCCAGATCCCTCCCCTTTGGCAACTGTCAGTCTGTTGTTTGTATCTATGAGACTGTTTCTATTTTGTTTGTTCATTTATTTTTTTCTTTAGATTCCAGATATAAGTGAAGTCATGTGGCATATGGCTTTCTCTAATTGACTTATTTCACTTAACATAATACCCTCTAGGTCTAACCATGTTGTTTCAAATAGTAAGATTTCATTCTTTTTTATGGCCGAGTATTAATCCATTGTACATATGTACCACCACTTTTTATCGACTCATTTATTGATGGGCACTTGGTTTGTTTCCAGATCTTGACTATTGTAAATAATGCTATAATGAACATAGGGGTGCATTTATTTTTTAGAATTAGTGTTTTGGGTTTCTTTGGATATATACCTAGAATTGGATTACTGGGTCAAAAGGTAGTTTGATTTTTAATTTTTTGAGGAACCTCCCTACTATTTTCCATAGTGGCTGCACCAATCTACAATCTACCACCAACAGTGCATGAGGGTTCTCTTTTCTCCACATCCTCACCAACACTTGCTGTTTGTTACTTTATTGATGATAACCATTCTGACAGGTGTGAGGTGCTTATTCTGGTTTTAAATTGCATTTCTCTGATTAATGCCTTTGAGCATCTTTTCATATTTCTATTGGCCATCTGTATGACCTTTTTTTAATGATTGATTTGAGAGAGAGAGGGAGGGGGAGAAAAAGAGAGAAATATCTAGTTGTTCCATTTATTTATGCATTCATTGGTTGCTTCTTTTATGTGCCCTGATTGGAGATTGAGTGCACAACCTTGGCTCTAACCAACTGAGCTACTGAGATAGGGCCATCTGTATGTACTTTTTTTTTAAATCCTCACCAAGGATATTTTTTCCATTGCTTTTCAGAGAGAGTGGAAGGGGGAGAGGGAGAGAGAGAGAAAGAGAAACATCGATGTGAGAGAGACTGGTTGCCTCCTGCATGATCTCCAACCAGGGCTGGGGATCAAGCCTGCAACCAAAGTACATGCCCTTGGCTGGAATTGAACCTGGGACCCTTCAGTCTGCAGATCAATGCTCTAACCACTGAGCAAAACCGGTTAGGGCCATCTATTGATTTTAGAAAGAGGAAGGGAGAGATAGAAACATCAATGATGAGAGAGTCATAGATCGGCTGCCTCCTGCACACCCCCAACTGGGGATCGAGCCCACAACCCAGGCATATGCCCTGACCAGAATCAAACCACAATCTCCAGGATCCTAGGTCGATGCTCAACCACTGAGCCACGCCCAGCCGGGCTGTATGTCCTTTTAAAGACATATCCATTTTTTAATTGAATTGGTTTTCTTTGTTTGTTTTTGGTGTTGAGTTGTATGATTTCTCCATAAATTTTGGATATTAACCCCTTATCAGATGTATTATTGATGAATATTTTCTCCTTTCAGTAGGTTGTCTTTTTGTTTTGTTGATGGTTTCTTTTGCTGTGCAAATACTTTTTAGTTTGATGTAGTCCCGTTTATTTTTTTCTTTCATTTCCCTTGTCCAAGATATATATTTTAAAATGTTGCTAAGAGAAATGTCAGAGATTTTACTGCCTATGTTGTCTTGTAGAAGTTTTATGGTTTTCAGTCTTACATTAAATCTTTAATCCATTTTGAGCTTATTCTTGTAAATAGCACGAGAAGGTGGCCTAGTTTCATTTTTTTTCCGTATATCTGTCCAATTTTCCCCAAACCATGTATTGAATACACTGTCATTACCCCATTACATGTTTTTGCCTCCTTTGTCATAGATTAATTGACCATGTAAGTGTGGGTTTATTTCTGGGCTCTCTATTCTGTTCCATTGCTCTATATGTCTGTTTTTATTCCAGTACTATGCTGTTTTGATTACTATAACCTTATAGTATAGTTTGATATCAGGTAGCATAATACCTCCAACTTTGTTCTTCTTTTTCAATATTGCTGTAGCTATCTGGGGGTCTTTTGTGGTTCCATATACATTTTTAGATTATTTTCTTTAGTTCTATGAAATGCTTCATTTGTATTTTATTTTATTATTATTAATCCTCACCCAAGGATATTTTTTCCATTGAGTTTTAGAGAGAGTGGAAGGGAGGGATGTGGAGAAAGAAAAAGAGAGAAATACCAATGTGAGAGGGACACATTGATTGGTTGCCTCCTGCACCCACCCCAATTGGGACCAGGGATCAAACCTGCAACCCAGGTATGTGCCTTTGACCGGGAATCAAACCCGCGACCCTTAGATGCATGGGCTGACACTCTAACCACTGAGCTGCACTGGCCAGGGCACATCATTGGTATTTTTTAAAAAATTGCATTGAATCTACAGATTGCTTTGGATAGTATGGACATTTTAATGATGTTAATTCTTTCTATCCATAAGGTATATATTTCCATTTATTTATATCTTCTTCAATTTCTTCATTGTCTTATAATTTTCCAAGTACAAATTGTTTACCTCTTTGGTTAAATTTATTCCTAGGTATTTTATTTTTTTTAATGCAATTGTAAATGGGATTGTTTTCTTATAGTTTATTATTGGTGTCTAAATATGCAACCACTTTCTGAATATTTATTTTGTATCCTGCTACTTTTCTGAATTCATTTATCAGTTCTAGTAGTTTTTGTGTGACATCTTTAGGGTTCTCTACATACAGTATCATGTCATCTGCAAACCATGACAGTTTTACTTCTTCCTTTCCAATCTGGATGCCTTTTATTTATTCTTCTTGTCTGATTGATGTGGCTAGGACTTCCAGTACTATGTTGAATTAAGAATGGTGAAAGTGGACATCCCAGTCTTGTTCTTGATCTTAAGGGAAACTCTTTTAGTTTTTTTCTCATTGAATATGGGTTGTTGTATATGGCCTTTATTATGTTGAGGTATGTTCCCTCTGTTTGCATTTTGCTGAGAGCTTTTATCATAAATGGGTGCTGGATTTTGTCAAATNTATTATGTTGAGGTATGTTCCCTCTGTTCGCATTTTGCTGAGAGCTTTTATCATAAATGGGTGCTGGATTTGGTCAAACACTTTTTTTGAATCTATTTATATGATCATATGATTTTTACCCATCATTTTGTTTATGTGGTGTATCATGTTAATTGATTTGCAGATATTGTACCAATCTTGCATCCCAGGAATAAATCCCACTTGATCATGGTGTACAATCTTTTTAAATGTATTGCTGAATTTGGCTTGCAATATTTTGTTGAGGATTTTTGCATCTATGTTCATCAGGGATATTGGCCTGTAATTTACTTTCTTTGTAGTGTTTTTATCTGGGTTTGAAGTTAGAATAATGCTGGCCTCATAAAATGAGCTTGGGAGTCTTCCTTCCTCTTGAATTTTTGGAATAGTTTGAAAAGGATAGTTGATAATTCTTTTTTGACTGTTTGGTACATTTCACCTGTGAGGCCATCTGGTCCAGGACTCTTGTTTGTTGGGAGCTTTTTGATTACTGTTTCAATTTTGTTGGTTGCAATTAGTCTGCTCAGATTTTCTGTTTCTTCTTGATTCAGTTTGGGAAAATTGTATGTTTCTAGGAATTTAGTCATTTCATCCAGATTATCCAATTTATTGGTATATAGTTATTCATAATATTTTCTTATAATCTTTTGTATTTCTGTGGTGTCAGTTGTTACTTCTCTTTCATTTCTGATTTCATTTATTTGGATCCTCTCTCGCTTTTTTTGATGAGTCTGGTT